TGCGTATCAATACCACGAGTTTTCGTTTTTATTTGGCGTACTATTTATATGCACTTTCATGAGATCGGGTTGGAATATCAGCGAGTGGATTGTAGATGGTTGTTCTGTTTTAAAGACCAGCAGCAGCTACACTGTGTGTTCCTGTGATCATCTGTCGACATTCGCTCTCATCATGCAAACCAGCCGCCCACCAGAGGTACAGAACATTTCCAGTGAACGATGAAGAGCTGCACAGATTTGGCACTCATGTTTTCTCAGAGCGACCCACTGCTGGAGCTGTTGAATTTGGTGTGTGTGATCGTGGGGCTGGTGTTCTTCAGTTTGACCCTGTTGGTGATCGTGGGGCTGGTGTTCTTCAGTTTGGCCCTGTTGACCTTTGCCCTTTGTCAGTGGAGTCCTGGAGTGAGTAATGTGGCTCGAATCAACATCTGCATCAGTCTTCTGCTGGCTCACCTTCTGTTCCTGCTCACACAGCGGTTCCTGAGCTTCATACGGCGACAGCACGTGAGAATGATGAAGGAGCCCTACAGCTCAGCACAGCCTCACTGAGAATCATCATAACCGTCTCTCATGGTCTCCAGGTGTTGTGTGCCGTGATCTCAGGCCTTCTGCACTTCCTCTTTCTCTCCGGCTTTGTGTGGATGTTCATTGAAGCTATTAGAAGGAAATAAAGCAGCTCTGGACTTTTGTGACATTTCTGCTATCTGATCTAATATACACACAGGCTGTATCAGTGTCATGCACAAGATTAAAATCTATAATATATAAGCAGTCGACACCTGAAATAGTATTTCTGACAAATTAATTCAGTTATTATATAGATTTTTCTCTAAACAACTGCTGGATTAAAATGGATAAAGGCTTCATCTGGAGTTTTCTGGGTCCTGTTTGTGTCATACTAGCAGTAAACACATTTCTTATTTCTCATGACTTTTATTTATATTAAAAGGAATACAAGGTGATTAATTACTCTTCTACTTTGCAGTCAAACACGGTTCTCTTCATCAAGATCGTCATCTGTCTGAACTCAGCTCTCAAAAGTCTCAATGCTGAAGTTTCACAGATGGAGCAAACCAAGTAACATTATTATTTAATCACTCTATAGAAAACCACCTTACATGGGTAATCTGGATGTTTTTAATGTTCTTATTTTGGTGATATGTGACTTTTAGAGAGGAATGTCAGAGGTCATTGCACACTGAGTCTGAAATTCTCATCCGAAATATTTGCACGTTAATAAATAAATACGACCACACGTTGTGTCAATCACGATTACACACTTGCTCCGAAACTTTTGGCCGTCATAAAAAATTCGGATCAGGTTCGATTTCCTGCATTTTCGCATCCATAGCAAGCATGTTGATAGGAAAGGATGACGAATAAAAAAAAAAATTTTAAAAACATGTATGAAAAATTCAGACTGAGTGTGCAATGACCTTTACTCTTCAATGTCCTACCTCTGACAGAATTTTCAAAAGAACCAAAACTAATTAAACTCCAACTTTTAAAAAAAAAATGAAAAAAATAATTTAAATAATTTAAATTTAATTCAAACCGACAGAGAATGCCTTTGATCTCCACGCTTTTAAAACTACAAACAAAATTGTAGGCTCTGGTTTTTCAAGCCAACATCAGATTTTAAAATATTTTTTTCTTTATTTTGTCATTTTCAGTGTCTCCATATATGGAAAAAAGAAAAGCATTAATATTTATTTCTAAAAATAGTTTTTTTTTCTTGTTTATTATTAACAAACTTCTGGTTCATGAGTTTCAGAGGTTAAATCGATCTCATGAAGTCACTCAGCTCCTCTCGTCTCGTTCTTGTTCAGGTCAGGCAGCAGTACAGGAAGCTCTTCAGATGTCTTTGCTGTGTCAAACAACACTGAGGACATCAGCATCAAGTTCAGGAAGTAATACATTCTGCTCAAGTGCCATTAATATACAGCTGATTTTATATAACAGAATCTGGGTTTTTGATGATACATTTTAGAGTTGTCGCTCCTTTCTACAAATGATAGAAAAACATGTTATTCGAGTGTCTTATTTTATAGCTGTTAATAGTATGATGACTTGTGCGGAATTATACAGTTGTGCAATATTAACAAATTTATACAATTATTTATTTGTTTGTTGAGCTCAGAAAGTTCCAACTGAATTACCATTTCTTCTGTAAAGGCCCATTTTAGAATATATTACTTTAAATATTGTACTGTACTTTAAATATTCATATTCATTACAAAATATGTAAATAGCAAAATGTATTTGCAGATATGAAAGACACAGGTTTTAGTGAATTTATGCATAAAACTAAACTTAAAAAATAAATAAATAAATGAACAGCTAATGTCTTAAAAGAATCTGTATTTTCACTTGGCTTGAATTTTGTATTAAAACATGAATTGCATTTTGCTTTTGTTCAGTTCACATTCAGGATTTCCTGTATTATTTTAATGGATTTTTGTTACAAAATGTGTTAATAAACTGACCACGTAATAGACTGACTAATGATCAATATTCAATCACTGCCAATGTTACAGCAACCATCACAGTCCACATTGAGTTAAAACAGACAAAAAAACTGATAGGGAATTACCTGTGATTAAATGAAGGTGATGCTGTCAAATTCCGAAACACTCACCTGGCTGCAGGATAAAGTTTGATGTTAAAGTCTCGCTTGCGGTTGTTTTTGTTTGAAGTCTTACAGGAGGCATGTAGAACTTTATTTTGATGGCCCCCTTTGAACATTATGTTGACAATGTAAGTGATGTTGCACCTACATGTCAACTAACGCTCATTAGAGTGTTACACAGTCAAACATTTGATCTCACAGTGATGTCACCATGAGCTCCCAGGATACTCGTGATGAGGAGCAGTTCAAAATGCTTGTGACTTATCATGCTTTTAAAACTCTTCATAAATTATTACACTGTTGGATCCTAATCAAAGAGCTATTATAATTAGAAACTTCAGACTAATAACTCCTCACAAAGACTGCATACTGAATCTAGGTGATGCTGTGTTGTTGTCATCAATAACAAACCGATATCTTCTGCTTACAGTCTCTTTTTAGTGTTCTTTTCCATAACAAATGTGTCTTACAAACACAGTTACAGCAGCCCCAATAAATATAATGTTATAAAGTCAAGGGTCAAGAGCACAACTAAAGCAAACACTAATCACCTTTATGGTAACTTCAAATGAAACAATAAAACATCATCATCTAAATCTCTGTTAATTCTCAATAAGCGCTTTTGTAGATGTCTGACAGAAATAAAGTCAGTCTGGTTAATAATGAGTGAAGCTGGTGATGCTGTTTGTGGTGTTGTTTAATCATTCTCTGCTGAGATCACGAAATATTTCATGTCTTTTGTATTTCAGTTGATTTCATCGAAGGCTGTGGCTGGAAGTCAGTTGTATGTTTGGAGAAGGTTCTTATAACAAGAAACTGTTAGCTGAGTGTGCACTCATGAGCTCACCATGTAAGAGCACTGTGATATCACTGTGATAGTGTTGAGAAACAGGATATAGAAAGCCTCCTCGGTGACCGATAACTGAACAGCCTCCTCTCAACCTGCTCAACATTTTGAATTCACAATGAGCTCACATATTACTTACACTGTGAGTATCACACTATCAGAATGGTGTGACGTCACTGTGATCATCACATGATCTCACGTGTTGACTGGGTAGTAGACTGTCAGCTTAATATTAATGAAATATTTTATTTATTATATATAAAACATTTGAAGAAGTTACTTTGCATGTTTGTGTAACCTATTGTGGAATGTATGAGAGCCATGTGCATTTTGAAGGCCTCGAGGCCAAATTAACTGACTTTGTAGGCCTTATGGGACTGTGCTTATGAATAGAGAATACAGAGGGAAGTACCAGAGAAGGGAGATTGTACAGGATGAGTGTGGGAAATAGATAATGTGTGTAAAACTAACTAAAATCCTAACAGCTCGTTAAATTCTAAAATGTATATGCCTCTGCAACCCTGGGCACCTGGAAAGGGGTAGATTAATATAAAAACTGAGCATGGAATAAAAGTTTGCAAATAAAAAGAAAAACTAAAGTGCTACATGTCTAGGTGGTAAATGGAAATATTAAATGATTTTGACATTTTTATAGGATCATTTTTTCTATTAAAGTAAATGTTTAATAGTGATGCATGCATTAGCTTAAATAATTAATAAAATGGTTAAGCCAGCACAATTATGTTCTGTTATATTTTGTCAGCTCCTATTTGATGACGTTGCTCTGTAAGGACACATTTTACAATGTATTATTTTAAATATTTGTATGCCTCATACAGTATATATGGCAAAGAATATTTTAAAGTGTGAGGGTTTTACAGGTGTAGTAAATCCAGAGGTGTAAAATCCAGGTTCAAAAAGTAAAAGTCCTCCTCAGTATTTTGTTCCAATCACCTGGATTTGCTAATTAGCACAGTTTTTCAGCCAGGAGGACTTTTACTTTCTGAACCTGGATTTTACACCTCTGCCCTTACCCAATGAGAAATCCTATGTTTCGATGCAGCAAGTCCCCTGCAGCCAGTACCAAAACACACCAACAATTGGGAGGACTTGCGCCATTGGCCAGAGTAGTCCACATAGAGCTTCAAAACTCGATCAGCGCAGAGCAGGTGAAGCCTCTCATCCTCAACAGAAGCAAAAGGAGGGGGACAAAAGGAGAAGAACAACCACCTGTGAGCGAAATCATGTGGACAAAACCTTGGGGAAATAACCGGGTCCGGGCCGTAGGAATACCATAACAAGGCCCGGAGCAAACTCTATGCATGACTTGCTAACAGTACACTTTTCAATTATTTGAATTAAATCAAGTATATTTAGATTTATAATGGGTCTGGTTCTCACCTTATTGATGAACAGGAATTGTAGTTTGCGAGTAAAGCTGTTAATTCCTCCGTCAACATCAGCACTTCCATTATAATCATCTGATACATGCAGCACAATCAAGTGAAAATTGTTGCATGGAATAAATGATAAATCTATTAGGCAGTCTATTAGCGAAATTGCTTTTCTTCCTGTTTTCTTCAAAACAAAAAGTTGCATCGTGAATGATGTAAACGTGCTCCGGCCCGGAACACAATGTGAGTGCAGGCCAGTGGGGGAGTGGGGAGGGGGGACAATCGCGCTCGGCCCGAGCGTGTTTGATTAGTGTGATTGCTCCATACTGCGCCCGGGCGTGGTTCGTTTAGCTGTCCCTGGTTCGCTTGGAAGAGGTGGGCCAGAGCATGGCTCAGTTGGGCTCGGGCGTGGTATGCAGGGTTATGCAGTGTGAGCGCTAACCGCGCCGGAGCACGGAACAGCTACTATTTTGTGTGTGCTACTGTCATCATTAAACTACTTAAGGGCAGCTGACTGAGTCTGACTGAGTCAGTGTAGAATTTGCCCACCACTGAGCTAACCACCTCGCCTATCAATCCTGACTGCGAGATGGGGGCGTCAAGGAGAAAAACTTTCTCCTTCTCAC